AGGCTGGAGTGCAATGGCGCGATCTCGGCTCACCGCAACCTCCGCCTTCTGGGTTCAGGCAATTCTCCTGCCTCAGCCTCCTGAGTAGCTGGGATTACAGCACGCGCCACCATGCCCAGCTGATTTTTTGTATTTTTAATAGAGACGGGGTTTCACCATGTTGACCAGGATGGTCTCGATCTCTTGACCTTCGTGATCCACCCGCCTCGGCCTCCCAAAGTGCTGGGATTACAGGCGTGAGCCACCGCGCCCGGCCCTCCTTTTTTATTTTGTCTTTCATTGGCAATGAATTCTGTGAGTCTTTTCAGCCTGGAAACACATATCCTTCAATTCTAGGAAATGTTCTGTATTATTTCTTTTATAACATGTCTTTCTATGTTTTCCTTGTTTTGAAACTTACTATTTGCATGTGATAATGCTTATATTGACCCTTTAATTCTTTTACTTCAGTTTTCAGTTTTTATTGATTTGTTTTTATATTCTACTTTCTGGTAGAATTTCTCCTCTTTATCTTTTTTCAGTATCTTTTGATTTCTTTTATTTCTGCTATAATATTTTTAATTTCTAATATTGTAGTATTCTCTGAATAGTTTTTTTAAAATTGCCTTTTCCATTTCTTGAACATAATCTATTTTTTTTTATCTTTCTGAGGATATTAATGATAGTCAAAGTCGTCTTCTGCTCCTTTGCTTGTAGTTCATTTTCCAGAACAATCAATTCTGCTATAATGTGTTACATGCATTCTAAAATTCACTGCATAATGTAGAATTGCTTAGTAAAAGCCACAGGGTTTATGAGAGAATGGGATTGGGGCACAACACAGAAACTTCATCAGTAATACATTTTTAAAAAAATAGAGGTGGCCGGGCGCTGTGGCTCAAGCCTGTAATCCCAGCACTTTGGGAGGCCGAGGCGGGTGGATCACGAGGTCAAGAGATCGAGACCATCCTGCTCAACATGGTGAAACCCCGTCTCTACTAAAAATACAAAATATTAGCTGGGCATGGTGGCGCGTGCCTGTAATCCCAGCGACTCAGGA